AGTGACAGTTGCTGTTTGTCTCTCTGTTGTCCCTTATCCTGCTGCAGTCCTCGTTCAGCATTAAATTGCCCACTTATTTCTTCATTGTCTCCCTCTCCTAGACTGTATGTAAGCCCCATAAAGGAACTGCCTGTTTTGTTCGGTGCTACATCCCCAGCTCTGGACAGCGTCTGGCACATAACGGGTGCTTCATAAATATTTATTAAGCAAATGCCTAGATGACTATTTTTAAGGGACATGGGGAAGGAGGGCAAGTAAAATGTAAAATTGATTAGCCAGTAAATAGCTGTAGAAGTATACTGTTTATAATATGAGGCAAATAACAGAACAGCCTAAAGAGTTCAAAGTGGTTGCCTCTGGGGGTGAGATGGAGAGGTGGGGGAGGTAGGAAGGACTGCTGCCTTCTAGCAACAGATAGGATTTTAAACATGAGTCGGAGCTCCTTTGTCAAAAATAAAACATTTTAAGTAATTTATATAGTTTGTATAACCTTTCATTGGCATTTCTTTGCCTTTAAATATACAAGGAGCCTCAAAAAAACCAAACCCAAACTGTGCCCGGCCACTGTGCCCTGTGAGCGGTAGCTTGGAGTCCACCAGCTCCCCAGAAAGAAGGGCAAAGCATTGTTTACTCTCTGCTCCTTACAGGTTGAGCTGGGCCCCTCAGGGTCCGACCCAGGCGGGATCCTGAGTCCTGGGATAGGAGCGAGGCGGCATGCACAGGCCCTGAGCGGGCTGGGTCACCGGGGTGTCAGGAGGAGGGCTTCCCACAGGGCCGCAGCTGAGCCATCATGCCTCTCATCAGCCCTGCCCCAGATGCTGCTGCTGCTGCTGCTAACAAGGCCCCAGGGAGCCAGCAGGGCCAGCCCCAGGGCTCCAGATGTCGCCCGCCTCCCCCGCCCTCAGGTGCCTCAGCTCCAGGCGGCAGAGGCCGGTGCGGTGCCGGCCAGGAAGGGGTGCCCGCCCTACCCCCGCTCCTCCGGAGCTCTCCTGGCAGCACTCCCCAGGGCCCCGGTGTTTTCCAGGGCCACTGTGAGCCCTGTGTACCATCAGCCAGGCTCCAAAGAAGATCCCCTGCACCCATTCAAAGCTGGGCCCTCGGTGGAAGAGGCACCTTGCCGAGGGCCCAGGTGGGGGAATTCATTAATTTCCTCGGCAAAGGCCTGCTGCTATCTAATTGCTGGAATGAAAAGGTTTCCCATGAAACCCAACCCCCAGCCCTCCCCGCCAAGAGGACAGAAGCTCTGCACCCCAGCCAGCCTCAGCTGGAGGCACAGGCGGGGACTTTCGAGCTTAGGAGCTGGGCATAGAATCTCCCTGTTTCCACTCAGGCCCCCGTCTGCATACATACACACACTACACACACACGTGCTTCTGCATCTGCAGGCACAGTACATGTGCACCCGAGTGTACAAGGGCATGTGTCCAGCTGCCCTCCAGCCTGCAGGCCTCCACTCATGTGTCACACATAGATGCCAGCACATTTGCACATGCACATTTGCACATGCACACTCCTTGAACCCGCATGCACTCGCAGAGTATTTTTCAAAGTTGTTTAGCATTAGCAAGTCCTTTTGTTGGGTGAAATCTTATAGGAACACACCAAATGTATAAACACAGGTGCTGAAGGAGTAGAGGGGCTCCCTTCCCTGCCCTGCTCCACGCCCACCCCAGGGAGGACAGCCCGAGGCTGGTGAGGCCACTTCTCTGCTCTCCCACCAGGCGGGCCTGAGCTCTCTCAAGGGGGAGCAAGGCAGGGTGCTTCCCCGTGGACAGTGGAGCTGGGCCCATAGGGGTGGCAGCTGCTGTCTCCCTCTGTCCTGCCCCCTCCATTCTGCTCCACGCAACCCCTCCCCCTTATCCCAGACACATTGATTTTTGGTTTCGAGGGTTTGTGGCTCCCTCTCCCGAGCTTCCCAGCTCATCAGCTGTGGTGACAGCCTATACCGGGGACGGCCTACTTTGCCAGGAGACGCAATCACAGGTGCTCCTGGTCACAACAGGTACCTTGGGTGGGACAGCCTCTGTCTGAGCATCCAGGGGCCCCACGACCCCATCTCACCGGGGTGTCAGGTCAGAGAGATAACCTGGGGAAATCAGGAAGGAGGACTATGGTGGAGGCGGCCGCCAGAAGATAGAAAATGCTTCCCTAGGACCATCATCCAGTCCCCTCCCGCGTGGTTGCTGCTCGAGGAGAACCTCGCTCTCCTTGGCCCTCCCAGAGGGCGCTATTCCTGTCGGACCTCCACCACCTACCCCCAGGGAACCCCAGGGACTCGTAGCTCCAGAACCAAGGCCATGCCCAGCTGTCTGAACCTCAGGCCTCATGCCAGCTAAGGGGGAACTGGCACATCCACTACCCTACAACCTCCTGCCCCCTCCCCACCTGGCAGAGCAGGTGCATGGCAGAAAGCAGGGCACCCAACAACTGTTGTATTGCTGGGCATAGGTAGGGGCGATCATGGACACTTCCCTTCAAAAAACCTCCGCTTAGCACCTCCCTCTCCCCACCACACCCTGCCGTTAGCCCCTGTGAACTTGCTCAGAAGGCTGCCGTGCCATCCCCCTCCTCCTTGGCCAGCACTGCCAAGCCTGCCCACGGGAAGGCCTCTGTGGGGCTTTCTTGGAGTGAAGAGGAGGCAGCTATGCCAAGTGAAGACCAGGGAAACCCAGCTGCTGTGTGTTTGAGGAAAGCCTGGCTGTTTCCTGTGACAGTGGGTGCCAAGAGGACCAGAGATCAGGGACCCCCAGGTGAGATGCCTGGGGTCGACAGGCTTTCATTAGGATGTTAGGTGGCCGCCCCCAGACCCCTCACCAGTAGGAAATCCCTGGGGAGGGGGCATGCTTAGCTCTCCTGGGGAGTCTGAGGCCCGGAGAACTAAGCAATGCACATCTGGATGCAAGGATTCCGTCCAGGTCAGTCCTGGAGTCGAAACCACCTGGGGGCTCTCCCACCCAGACTGACTGGCATTCCCTTCTTGGCACCCTGGTGCAAAGGAGAGGACTGATCTGGCTCCTCTATGGTTGAAGAAGGGTTTATCCTCAACCCGTGCCCTGTATCCCTCCTGGGCTGGAATCAGGGCAGGCAGTGTTCGTTTCAGGAAGACACAAATTCACCAGGGGAAGGGGATGAGTGGGTGGGGTTGGGGTGCACCCGGTTTCTGCGGCAGCCTGAGGGGGCCACAGTCAGTGGTCCAAGGCAGCCCTACCTGCAGCAGGCTCTGGTACGCCCCTCTCCAACCCCACCCCAGCAAGAGGACTGCTGACCCAAGGACTATCAATCAAAAAGGCCTGGGTGAAATGGCCTTTTCTTCCAGGGCATTCTGCCTTTCTCCAGTATCTGCAAGGAAAAGAGCACCCTCCTCTTGGGCAAGGGAGCACTGTTGAGGTGTTCTGGACATTCAGCCACTAGCCTTCTGCCTAACAGTTCTTCAGCCAATCATCAACCATCCCACTGGGAAGTTCCTCTCAGGTCATACTTAAATCCCTCCAGCTGTAACCTCCCTCAGAGACCAGCCAGAAGAGGCTGAACTGATTTAGCACCCTGCACATCACACTACTTCCCGTTCACACTTGCATCAGCAGAACAGGGTCTCTTGGAGGGCATGGGCTATGCCTGGTTTGTTCATCTTTGTCCCCAGAAGCCACCACTCTGCCTCCTTTATGATGGATGAACAAGACACGATCCAAGGAGCCACCTGAAGCACCCTTGTGGAAATGGAGGGATGATGGAAGCGGACGCCCCAACCAGAGGCAAAGGCTCAGGTCGCCCCACCGTTTTCTGCGCCTGCCGTGTACAGCTGGATGTGGTGCTCTCTGAGGGCCCGGTGGCAGGCTGGAAGACCTCGCTCGCCTGGTGATGGCCTGCTCTCCACCTCACTCTTCCCTTGGGAAGCAGACAGCTCCTCAAACTGAACTTCCTGTGACTCAGGAAGTGGCCCTCAAAAGGCATATTCCCCAAGGGGGCAGCGCCTGAGGAAACACTCCCAGTCCATGGCCCCAGGATCACAGATCCAGGCCAAGTCTGCAGGCCTCAATGGAGACACACCAGGGCCGGCTGGGCCCAGCTCTGGCTCCTGCCTCCCCACCCTGGAGGGCAAGTTGTTTATGCCAGGAGAGCCTGCCTGTGACCTGGGCCGAAGGGCAGAGTTGGGAACTACCTGTGACCTGTGCCTGCTTGCCTCTGTCCTGAAGAATGGCCAGGAGGCTCCATCCCTGATCATATCTTCTTGGAGGCCACCGCCCAGCCAAGGCTGGCTGACCCACCCATTCTCACTGACTAGAGAACCAGGGAACCGCTATGTGTACAAAACCTCAAATCGTGTCGGGGCCAGTGGGGCCCTGGCTTCCTCAGCACCTAGAAGCCAGGCCCAGCATCAGAAGGCAGGAGAGAGCCTTTCAGCACCTGGACAAGGCCCTCCAGGGCTTCACCCCAGAGGCTCTCTCACTCCACTCCCCATTCCTGAGCGGGAGCTGGGGTCGGCGGGGTGCAGGGGCTCAGCCCAGTGTGAGCAAACAGATAAGCGCGCGTGGAGAGGGCAGAGGGCGCTGGGTGGGGCTGGCACCTCTGGGAGTGTCCCGGCCTAGTCTCCGATCCTTGACCTGTGACCCCCTGCCTACGCAAGCCACCTCCGCACACTCACGCGGGAGGTGTCGCTGCCGGGCTGAGTGGGGCGGACTCTCCCACCGCGCGGAGCTCAGATGGAGCCGGCAGCCCCTCCCCGCAGCCCTCACTGCCCCGGCGGAGGAGGGGCAGGGCGTCCCCTACCCCAATCAGGGAGGGTTCGGAGCACGTGTGGACCGCCCGGCCGGGCCGGAGGGGAGCCAGCGGGGGCCGCTCCCATCACCCTCTCCAGGTCAACAGCACAAAAGCGCGCCGGCAAACAAAGAAGCGCTGCAAACTCGCCAGGGGGGCGGGACAGCCCGCGCCGCGCCCCCTCCCCAAGCCGGGCGGGCTAGCGGGGCCGTGGGGTCCTCGCGACGCCCCGACGGCGCTCTTACCTGGCCGGCGCGGACCTCTTTCTCCAGCTCGCGGTGGCGGTTGTGCCACACGAGGTAGTGTAGCGGGTACTTGCCCTCGGGCCCCTTCCTGGCGGAGGCGTTGGCGGGGATCATCGCCCGCTCCTCATACCGGGGCCGCGGCGCCCGGCCCGGAAGGAGGGACGGCGCCAGAGCCGGGGCCCGGTCAAAGACGCCGCTCGGCGGAGGGAGCAGGCGGCCGCAGCGGGCGCGGGGGCGCTCGGGGCGCAGGCCCCAGGGACGCCGCCGCCGCAGGGACGCGCGCCCGCAGCACCCGGCACCCCGCAGCTGCATAGCCCGGCCCTCAGCCCGAGCGATCGGCTAGGGATGCGGGGATGCGGGGGAGAGAGGAGGGGGACGTGGATGCCCTGGGCAGCGCTTGTTATCACTGGGCCCCGCGGCATCATGGGGCTTGTAGTCCGCCTCGTGGAACTGGGGGTGGTGAGTGGCCGGAGGGGGTCCCGCACTGACCCCCTGATCCACTGAGACAGTGGGGAGGGAGTCAGGCCCGGCCGGGTCGGAGGCAGTGTCCTGACGTCTGGTGGACTGGAGTGCACCCCCAGCCCCTGGCATTTTGCCTTTTGCTGGGGAGGGACGGGGTTACAGGCCTTCCTCAAGCATTAGGGGGCGCGGGAAGGTGTGGCCTTCAGGCTTGAGTTTGGGTCCCAGTGGAACGTGAGCGGGATCCAGATTCCAAGAAAAGAGTGACTGGTGGAAGGAGTCCTGAGAAAAATGCGGGGCGTTAGTGTGCAGTGCCAAGGGTCATTGGAGCAACCAGAAATCTGGCACCTGAAATACTACGTAGTCTTCCCTGCCTTCTTTTAAAATTAAACTCCATCTTCTGCACTTGACATTAGAAAGACGATGTCTATTAAGGATGGGAGAACACACCCCTCCCCCCAAATGCTGCTTTCTGCAAGGACCTAAGTGGGGCTGCGCAGAGACTGCAGCAGGTGGCAGCTCCCCACCTCCACCCCGTGTGGTCCCCTCTGGAGAGGAAGCACTGGTTCCAGAGACTGTCTCCTTCCTGAATAACTCCAGGGCAGAGAGATCTTTCCAGAAGGGTGCTTACAGATGTCTCGATAAAAGTGGAATTGCCCCCCCAGGGCAGCCTGTTGCAGGAGCTAGAAGGACCTGGGGCTTGGCCCAGCCCCTGGAGGCGGGGAGGGACTGGGGTGTCCGAGGAAACCTGAATTCCTATTCCTCCTTACTAACTGCCTGACCTTAGGCAAACTGCTTAAATTTTCTCAGACCACTCACCTCTAAAATGTGGCTCTAATACTACCTCTTGGGGTTAGCTAAGGATGGTGACTGACCTGGAAATGATGCATCCCTCTCCCCACCAGACCCACTGGGCCAGGTGGCGGGACCAGGCACTGCGCCTTCTGGAGCCCACCTTGGAACAAGACAGGAATCAGGGATTCCATACCAGCCCCACTTAGAACAATCCAAGAAGCGTTTGTGTGGGAGGTGCTAGCGAAAGCTTGCAAACTCTCCGTGCCTCGGAGAGGCAAACCCGTGCCTCAGGTTTCTTTGTGTGGTCTCCTCTCGTTCCTCCTCCACACCCAGCGGTGCCAGGCCCCGGCGCGGAACGACGAAGGAGGAGTGGACTGCCTCGCCCCTTTCTCCAGGCTGGGAGGAGCCAGTTCGCGTCTCCCGCGGCCGGGGACCGGTGCCCACCTCCACCACGAGGGGTCAGCAGAGTGCCGTGGCTGCAGCTGGAGTTGGGGAGGGGGCTGGAGCGGGGAAGGGACGGCCAGGAGTGGCCGGGAGAATGCCTGTACATTTCCTCATTAAATTGTTTTTACAATCTTGATGTGATTCTTCTTTAACTGTCTTGCTTCCTGAGGTGACGAAGTCTCCAAAGGGAAATTCGGAAACCCTTTTATCCCTAAGCCCCAGGCCCAGAAGCTCGTCTGTGGCGGGGCTGGGGGCTTCGGGAACAAAGTTCGGAGAGTGGATCCGAGCTTCGGCCACTCCCCGGTAGTCCCAGGGCCAACCAGGAGGTGGGGCTAGCGGAGTCGGGGGAACCGAGTGACTCATCCTTCTTCCTCTGAAAAGGCTTGGAGCTCACGGAGGCGGGGAGCTCAGCGGGGATTGGGGGGGCCCATCCTCTGGGCAGCTGGAGTTTCTCTTTTCGTCAAGCGGCCCTGGACTCTAAACCCAAGTCGCTTTCCCCCCCGGCCTGCGCGCTCCAGCTGCCACGTGCTCGAGACGCGCCCACACAGCAGAGAAACAAAGACAGCCAAGCAATGGGGCTGCCAGCAGCCGCCTCGACATTTAATAAATGAAATTCCATAGCTGGGGGTCGATCAGGGGTGAACGGGCGGCCACAGCTCGTGGGCTGGGCCCCCGGTAGGAGCGGCCAGGCCACTCCTCCCATCACCAGGGATGGGGCCACCAACCCCACGGACTGACTCCTTGGTGAGGGTGCAGCAAGGGGCGGCAGGTGGTGCCCCCCACCACCCCACCCCACCCCGCGAGGTATCTTTGCTCGCAGAAACCCTGCCAGATGAGCGGCTGGCTATGGGGGGAGGGGATGCCTGCAAGATTTTTTTTTTTTTTTTAAGGTGCGATTATAAATACACCCTGTGGATCGCAATCTCAAACAAACTTGTCAATCTGGGCTGCAGTAAAAGGCGATGGAGGCAGCTCTGCATATATTTCGGGTGGTGTGACTCATGAGCATTACTTGTCTCCCCCAGGGAAGCAGCCTGCCACCCACAAGTCACTGCTGCTCTGGCACCGCCGGGATAAAATGAGCCAACTCCGACACCCCTGCCCAAGGACTCCCCTCCAGCCCCCTTGCTTCTGAGCAGGACTCCCGGCCATGGGGAACCCTCCCCTAATCTGAGGAACCTGCCTTAATTGTGTCACCATTACCCTGGCCCTTGGGCCTGGGCACCCTCGCCCTCTCCCCACTAACAGAGCGCTGGCCTTTTGCTGCTGCAGGGATGGGGGTTGGGTGCACGTGGGGCACACGTGTATGGGGGAGCATGCTCAGTGCAGGGGTGCACCCATGTGAGGCCTGCGCCTCCTCTCCCTGTCACCCCCACCCTTCCAATGAGTCTCCCCCCGTGAAGTCCAGGCAGAAAGGCCACCAAAGATAGGATCCCTATATGTTATATGCCCACGCCCTGGACATACACCTCTGGTGTCTCAGAAATACCGTTGATGTATACAACACTGATACCAAGTGGATATTTCTGCACACAGTCACAGTGGTCACTCCTCAGGAGGTCTTTAAAAAAAAAAAAAACCTGTCCAGATTCTTTCCTCTCTGGATGAAAGCACGGAGGACAGATAGATGTCTTTTTAGCCGGGAGACTGGGGGATTGACTGCATGACCTCTGGCACCTGGCCGTCCAAATTGTTGGCGGTGGGCTAGTCAGCAAGAGAGTGACCACACACACACACACCTGGACACACAAATGTGGATACACAGGGGAACCGGGACGCACAATTCAACCCAGACAGACAAGCGGGTACCTCGAACTACAGACCCTGGATAAGTGGGGGCCGGGGCCTCCCGCTCCTCACTCTTCTCTGATCTCCAGGGATCACTGTCCCTGGGCCCGAGCTCCTCAGGGCACCCCGCGCCTCGAATATGAACGGGACGAGACTGTGAGGCGAACTCGCAGCGTCTCGGTGGCATGGGCGCACCGAGACCCGGGCCGCAGGCGGCGCTGCGCGCTCTGGCCTGGAGGCGGCGGCCCCTTTAAGTGCCCCCGCCCCCTCCCGCTCGCGCTCCCGGCTTCCTTTCTCCGGGAGGCGCGGCGGGCAGGGCCTGGCGGCGGGGCGGGTTCCATCTCTGGATCCAAACGGAAGCGCCAGCCTGGGGTGGCCGGGAGGACTGTGGCGGAGGCCGGACGGGTTTCGGAGGTGGGGGCGAGTGTGGTTTTGTGTCATCTCAGGGCCACCCCCGCGTCTTGCACCTGCTGCTCGCATGGTCTGCGCGCCCGCTCGGGGGACGGAGGGCAAGGGGCAGAAAGCCGGGCAGATGGGCCGGGGTGGGGGGGCGGGGGGGCGGTCTGTATTCTGTTTTCTCGGGAGCAGACGGCGGGGTGGCTACTCCTAGGACTCCCTGCCCCTGACTCCCAAGGCTCCTAGCAGGGCCTGGTGTTCAGGGCCACAGCAAGCTTGGGCATCGTCCCCTGAGGCGTCCCCAGGCCTGGTAACGGGACAACGAGCCTCAGCTTTTCCTGTGCTCCTGTACAGCCTGCTTGGAAGGTGGGCTTGGCCTTACCCCAGCCTGGGCACAGACGTCTCTCCCTGTCCCCTAGCCCAGTCTGCCCAGAAAGGGGTAGGGAGCATGCAGAGAGGTGCCTACATTCCTGGGACCCACCTGGCTTTGTGGCCTGCCTCCCAGCTGTATTTTCCGTGCCGTTTCCCTTCTTCCCACCGAGTCAGGTCCAGGATGATGTGAAACCCCCCTGACCTGCCAAGGAGGTGAGGAGAAATGACCCGGAAAGGCTGCTCCCTTCTGATGTGAGGGGACACTGCCAGTGATGGGGCTCCGCAGCTGGCTTGGGGAAATGAAGGCCCTGGCCCTTGACCATCCTCTCTTTAGAAAAGGAGCTATCTCCCTGGGAGATCTCCGGGCAGGCTCGGCGGGGGGCAGGGGGGGGGTGTCCATGAACTCCAGGAGGATTCTGGGCACTATTAGGTGGAGAGTGTGGGGTGCCGTCTTGTGGCCCATAACTTCCTGCCACCCTTTGGACAGGCCCAGGGCTTCCCTGGTGGCTCAGTGGTAAAGAATCCACCTGCCAATGCCAGAGACCTAAGTTCAATCCCAGGGTCGGGAAGATCCCCTGGAGAAGGAAATGGCAACCCACTCCATTATTCTTGCCTAGGAAATCCCATGGAGGGAGGAACCTGGCGGGCTCCAGTCCATGGGGTTGCAGAAGAGACCGAGAGAGTAAATAACAACAGGACCCCAGAAGGTTGAGACCCACAGATGCTCTGGTGGTTTCAATGGCGCCAAGCTTGAGTGTTTGGGAACCGTGGGAGCCTGGCAGATGCATGGTGGTCTGGGTGGTTGTGACCCTGAGGCCTCCTCTCAGGGCATGTCATGGTCTAGAAGGCCCTGAGGAAGC